ATTCCCAGAATAAACTCAACTTGATCAGGAAATATATTATTTTTATTTGATATTTGTTAAATATTTATATATCTATATTCATAAGAGGTATTTGAGTGTAGTTTTTCTTTCTTGCATTGATTTGTCAGGTTTTTTTTTATTAAATCTTTATTGTCCAGATTATTACATTTGTTCCTCTCTTTTCCCCCATAACTCCCCTCCACCCAATTCCCACCCCACTCTCCTCCCTCACTCCCCACCCACTGTCCTCATCCATAGGTGCACGATTTTTGTCTAGTCTCTTCCCGCATCCCCCATACCCCTTTCCTCTCCAAGAATAGTCAGTCCACTCCCTTTCTATGCCCCTGATTCTATTATAATCACCAGTTCATTCTGTTCATCAGATTATTTACTTGATTTTAAGATTCACTTGTTGATAGATGTGTATTTGTTGTTCAAAATTTGTATCTTTACCTTTTTCTTCTTCTTCCTCTTCTTAAAGGATACCTTTCAGCATTTCATATAATACTGGTTTGGTGGTGATGGACTCCTTTAGCTTTTCCTTATCTGTGAAGCTATTTATCTGGCCTTCAATTCTGAATGATAGCTTTGCTGGATAAAGTAATCTTGGTTGTAGGTTCTTGCTATTCATCACTTTGAATATTTCTTGCCACTCCCTTCTGGCCTGCAAAGTTTCTGTTGAGAAATCAGCTGACATTCGTATGGGTACTCCCTTGTAGGTAACTGACTTTCTTTCTCTTGCTGCTTTTAAGATTCTCTCTTTGCCTTTTGCTCTTGGCATTTTAATTATGATGTGTCTTGGTGTGGTCCTCTTTGGATTCCTTTTGTTTGGGGTTCTCTGTGCTTCCTGGACTTGTAAGTCTATTTCTTTCACCAGGTAGGGGAAGTTTTCTGTCATTATCTCTTCAAATAGGTTTTCAATATCTTGCTCTCTCTCATCGTCTGGCACCCCTATAATTCTGATGTTGGTAAGCTTGAAGCTGTCCCAGAGGCTTCTTACACTATCTTCGTATTTTTGGATTCTTTTTTCATTTTGCTTTTCTGGTTGCGTGTTTTTTGCTTCTTCGTATTTCAAATCATTGACTTGATTCTTGCAATCCTCTAGTCTGCTGTTGGGAGTCTGTATAATATTCTTTATTTCAGTCAGTGTATGCTTAATTTCTAGTTGGTTCTTTATCACAACATTGAGGGTCTCATTAGATTTCTTGTAGATCTCATTAAGTTTATCAGCAGTTTCTAGAAAATTATTGAAAGACCTTAAAAGTGTGGTTTTAAACTCTATATCCAGTAGTTTGCTTTCCTCCATTTCTGTCACTTATGTCCTTTTTCTTTGTCTCCGCATTTTTTATGCTTCCCTGTGTTGATAAAGTGGTTTTCTGTGCTAAGTGTCCTCTAGGGCCCAGTGGTTCAGCCTCCCCAATTACCTGAGGAGGACACTCTTGGTGCACCCCCTTGTGGTCTTTGTGCATAGTCTTGTTGTAGGTAAGCCTTGATTGTTGTAGGTATCACTGGGAGGAATTGGCCTCCAGGCCAATTGGCTGTGAGAATCAGCTGTGTCTGCAGTAGGAGAACTTCTGTGCTGGAGACACCCCCTGGGGCAAGACTTGCTTCAATGGGGCTTTGGTGCTCACTGAGTCTGCCCCCTGAGTGTGTCCTTTATGTTTCCACGGAGCTGCAAACTGGATGGTCCCACTCTGACTTCTGGGCTTCCTGGCTCCTGGATCTCTAGGGAGGTGCTAATCTAGCCTTTGCCTGAGGCTATCCAGCAAAAGCCTCCCTGCAGGGCTTGGGCTGGGCGGGTCCCACGGGATCAACAGGGCGGGGCTAGCAGTTATGGCTGCTCTCAGTCTTGCCCTCAGAGGCTTTGCTTCTCAATGTCCCAGGATTTTTGCAAGCCCCTTGGAGAGAAAGCTGCCCTCGAGTTCCAACTGATGCCAGACAGTCCCGCCTCTCCCGTATGAGTCTGGGTCCCTAGAGACTCGCCCAGAACTGGAGCTCAGAGCCTGAGACTCCCTCCCGATTGAAAATGACAACTGCGCCCTCAGCCACCAGCCTGCTCCGCATGCACCTCCACATCTTAGTATTTTACTTCCGCACTGCGCCTCCTCTGAGTCTCGGTATGCTTTTCTCTTTTCTTCTAGTTGTAGAATTTCCACTCAGCCAGCCTTCCTGTGGTTCTGGGTGATGTCTGTTCCATCTTTTAGTTGTATTTTTGAAGTGGTTGTTCGAGGCAGCAATCTCTGGTGTTTACCTATGCCGCCATCTTGGTTTTTCCTCGACATGTCAGGTTTTATAATCAAGGTTGTATTGGCCTAATTTTTATGTATTTGGAAGAACTTGATGACTTTACTACCAAGTTCTGATGATTTTTTGTCTAGGTTCTTGAAAACACTCATTATAGGTTATTAATGTATGGGTTAAATATCTGGATCCCCTGTGTATCTACTTATATTATCTTTTTTCTCTGTGTTTTCAATCATCAGGCTTGTTTCTTAGCATCTCTGTTACCACTTAATTGTAGAGTATATGGAATGTCATTCCATGAAATTAGAAATGTTTTTATTTTTTTAAAAAAGCAGACAGACTCAGAAGGACCCTTTGACCCTCTCCCCTTTCCTGCCAAAGATATTCAGACAGAGAAACCTGTTTCAGGAAGGCTTTCTGAGGATGTCGCCCTTAACTTAGTGAATTAAGTATGGTAAACAAGAGGGCTTCAGGCCTGTTAGCTAGATACCCACTGTGTCCCATTTTTTCCGAGTCACCTCGCCATGTATGTTCTGCTCTTTTGCTCTTCCTCAACCGCCTGTAAATTCCTCGTTCTCACTTCGGAAATCTGATGTCCTGTTTTCTCCCTTGTCCAGAATATCTTATATACCCAACATTGCCTCATTGTCTTTGAAATTTTCATGGAATAATCATGTCTATGTGAATTCCCCATGTGCATGTATTAACCTTTGATTTTTCTCCTATTTAAAAAAAAAAAGCATACAAATTCAGCATTTTCCATCTCAGTGTATAACTATGTTACATTTTCTGGTTTATTCAATGCTTTTAAAACATAAAAGCTCGTCTTTAATATATGCATGGTCCTGAAGCATCAAAGATTTAGGTAAACAGGTGAGTCTCAGTTAAAATTAAAATGGAACAAGTTAGTATAAAGACAATGCATATTATTATACATTGGAAAGGTAAAATACCCATAATGTTTAAATCTGTATGGGTAAAATGAAACCATTCTGGAACTGATCCACAAATTTCAGAACTGGTTCTGTTACAAAAAGATGGAGTGAAACTGACAAACTATACTTAGATTTAAAATCTAAATATAACAGAAATCCAGAGCTTAAAAATGTATTTATTTTTTCTGCTTTATGATGACTCTAACAGTTCTTTTAGGAACTAATTATAAAATATTTCAAATAACTACACAATAAAAAAACACACTTTCACGAATATCCTTAAGGCAAAAGTATAGATCAAAAGTAGTTATTTTCTCCCCACATAACCCATAGGATTTAATCCACATTTATAGAACATATTTTTATGTTTATATAAATGCCCAGCTATTTTAAGCTGTATTTGGTATGCCTGGGTACTCTAATTCCTGTATGTGTGTGGAGGGATGTGGGTAGTTTCCATTTCAGACCAAGGAAGTTATTTTGATGCCACTAATTAGCCTAAATTTTAAATTGGACCCTTACTTTCTGTACACATATCACACATACACACACAATTTAATTATAATATGTTGCATGTAAGTTTAAATACAATGGGATACAAATATAATGATAGAAAGTCTCTTCTGCTTTTTTTGCTACACTCTTCATTTCCAGAATCTTTTAAAAATCCATTTCATTCGAGAAATAAGTGTATTTACTAAGATATAATTAGAAATTCATTTCCCTCTTCTTTTTCCCCCTAAAACACACACACACACACACACACACACACACACACACACACACACACACATTCTACAAGGCAGGCTTATTTCCTTCTTATTTTTGTTAGAAGCATAAAATATTTTAATTTCTATGTCTTTTCTACCCTTTAGCTTTTTTTCTAAAAAAAATTAAATGTAAGATATTTTCAGAAAATAGGTGTATTTTTTAAAATTAATAATGTGACTTCAACACAAGGAAATTGACATATTTAGTGTTTATGACAGAGAGCAAGTATGAAGTATGTATAGTTGAGAAGTAGAATGTATTTTTGCTCCCAGTTGTACAGCCACATTAAATAAAGGAGTGGGGCTATATTTTCATATTAAATACCTAAACTAATTGCATGTTCTACAGTTTGTTTTTAAAAGACAATCATGAATTTTTCATTTTTTAAAATTCCAATTTGTAACCAAAGCCACGTCAGACACGGACCTCCCAACTATTCCATAATTCCAGGATTTCCAAGGCCACAAGAGGTAAAAAGAAAAACATTTTTTCTAACATCTCACAGAGTCTGTGTAAGCCATGGTAGTACAAGCAAATCATATCTGGAGGACAATTAAGTAAAAGCAGCCTACTGATGTAAGGCTGTTCGCCAGCATTTGTTCAGTGTTCCAAGGAAAACCAACAGGTGAAGGGAGAAGAGAGAAAAATTTTCAATCATTTTGGGGTTCCTATAACTAGTTTATCACTCTACTCATATACAGATACAGAGAGCTTTTCAGAGGAATTGCCAGATGTGTGTGTGTGTGTGTGTGTGTGTGTGTGTGTGTGTGTGGAGAGATTTAATTTCATTATGGTTATATCCAGTTGAACTATTCTATTTTTGATCTGCCTTTAGTCCTACATCAGGCTCTCATTCTTCCTGTGCCTGGGTCATTTCTCCTTGGTGAACTAAAAAGTCTGTCTTCCTAGTACCATCTAATCATTGTGTAATCTGCTTAATGGTTTAGCCTTTTAGAAGCTGCGTCCGTCATGGTTTCTCAGAGCCACACTTGAACTGGGTGAAGTCAGCAAGTGCACTGCGGGCAGATTATATACAGAAGTTGGACTCACTTCTCTGCAGGTCCCCTTTTTTTCTGAAACCATGGTCCTTCATGTCCTGGTTGTCTTGGAGGCTCTGAACTCCAATTTCTGTCTCCCTGGCCCTATGAGACGACTGTTGTAAGTTCGAGGCTACCACTTTCTGCTCAGATCCCATGTCCCCAGGCAGTAATCAGAAAATAATTTGCAAAGAAAACTTAAAACCTCTGCTTTCCAAAACATCTCACGCAAATTATATCAGAAATTGTATCCGTCTGCTAGATTTTGCTCATCCTTTCTATACTATCCAGTTGTAGATGGGAAGTAACAGCCTAGTCAGGGGCTAAACTTCCCCATCCCATTTGCTACCAGGTGTAGCCAATGGAATATGAGTGGAGGTAATTCATGCTAACTTCTGGACCAAGGTTTATGAAAGGCAAGTATACTTCCTCCATGGTGTCTTCCCACCCGGATGTATATGATGATTAGGAAGGAGCAGACAGTGACGTTATAAGATCAAAGGCACCTGGGCCCAAAAACCACTTCATTAAATTGAGCCATGATAAATGTAGGGGTCTAATTGTTACAATAATTTAGTCTACACTAGATAATACACATTAAGCTGAAAATATATATTGCCCAAATATATGTTATAACCTGAAATAAGCATTAAAATTCAAAAATAAAAAATAAATATTTCAATAACTATTAGGATAAAGGCAATTCTCTAAAGAAGATATTATTAAGTTAACAATAATGTTCAAACTAATTACTGATGTTCAAAAAACTGATGTTGATATCATGTATGAACAATAGGAAATGATAGATAGCCTATGAGATGAGCAAAAATTTTAAATGAAAGTGTCTAGAGTTGATTGATTTGAGAAATATACTGTTGATGGAAATGTGAATCAGTAAAACCTCTATGACAAATAGTTTGGCAATATGTGTCAAAATTTTAAATTATTATATACTTTGAGGCAAATGTATAATGACAATTATCTACCACTATAGTATCATATGAATAGTTTCACTGCCCTAAAAATCTTATGCTTCTAAAAGTAAGATAATTCTCAATAAAAGCCACAATTATCTTTTCCCAAAAAAAATTGGACATGGAAAATGGACCTATTTGGATAAATTTGTAGGTAATGGCAGGACTTTTAGGCTGCCTAACATAAGAGTTCCTGCTCTTGAACAGAAAATTGGATTTAGGCTCAGAGCAGTAGTGCCTTCTAGGGTCTTCCCAAGGGCAAAATAGAGTACTTATGTACAAACTATCTTCTGGGTATCTCTCAGGACATTTTATACACCAGAAGAAAAATATTCCTACACTGAAATTTCCAAGTAATGTTTGCTGATAATGATAAATTATTTAAAAAGTATCATCATGGCAAATAGATAAAATCTAGTTTGCCTGGGTAAGAAAGATAACATGGAAGCTTCCTTTTCCTACTAAAAGCTCTCCATCTATTATGTAGCTTTCAAGAAGAGTGTCCTGTCTTCTGTTGATATTTCTGGCAGAAATCTAGGAAACCTGAGTGCATTTAAGCATTCCCAGAAATACATGAATCATTATTACAAAGCAAAATGTTCACTTTTAAATTGAAAAGTGGATATGTTTGGACATTGCTTGGGTAAAGTTTTGGGGTATATTTGCTGTAATATGAATTTAGCATATTTCTGGTGATTTATTTTTGTTTATCTCTTTTGCAAAAATTATAGTATTAATTAGCCTGCAAATTTTTTTCTTCTGAAGATCCTACCTCCAAATCACCATTCACTACTTCTCCCTCACTTTCTTACTCAGGTCACATTGACATTTATTCATACTTTACAAAAATAAGTTCAACCACAGCTGATATGCAATATTGTATTAGTTTCAGATAGCCAACATAATCATTAGAAATTTACATACATTACAAATCTTCACCTTTTAAAACATCATGTTCCTGTCACTCCCTGGGTCTTCACATATGTTGTTTATGGAACCACACATGTTTAGAATGTTCTTTCCCTAATTTATCTACATTAAATTCCTATCATCTGTAATAAATAGAATGCTATTTGTAAAAAAGATTGGTATCTTGATCCCCAGAACCTGTGAATGCATCCAAGCTAAGGGGTAATTAGTTGCAGATAGAATTACAGTTGCTAATCAGCTGACCTCCATTAGTCTGGATTATCCAGGTGTTCCCAATGTAATTAGAAGGGTCCTTAAAAAAAAGAAAGAGAGGCAGGAGAGGAGTGTAGGTTAGAGGACGATGGGACTCTGAAGACAGACATAGAGAGTGCAGTTTTGATGGCATTGATGATAGAAGAAGGTTAGCATGAGCCAAGGATGAGAGCAGCCTCTAGAAACTTGAAAGGGCGAAGAAACAGATTCCCTTTTATTGCATCCAGGAAGGAATAGAGCCCTGCTGATGCCTCGATTTTGTACGTGAGATCCCTGTCAGAATTCTGTCCTACAGATATGTAGGAAGAACATGTGTTGTTTAAGCCACTACATTTGTGTAATTTGTTACAGCAGCAATAGAAAATTAACACATCATCTCTCAGAGTGCAAGCTGAAAATCACTTTCCCATTTTCCAAGTCAGGTTCCCCAGTTAGACACTTTATTAACACAGCACTATTTTTTAGGACTTTAAAGCATGTAAAACACACATAATTAAAATTTATTGTTTCATTATTGGTGGTTTATTGTTTTCCCTGCTGATATGTAAACTCTAGGGGTGTGTTCCTTGTCTGTTTCATGCCTGCCACACAACAGGTGTCAATAAACGTGTTCAGGGATTGACTCTCCCTTTCTCTTCCAGATAGATCTAAAGGAAATAAAATTCCCCCAAACAAAATCACGGGACAAAGATAGTCACATTACATTTAGTAATGCATTTAATTCATATGGTTTTATCTTCCTAGGTCATTAGTTCTCAAGTGTAATCCCTTGACTGGCAGCATCAGCATCACCTGGGAGCTACTGGATTTGGATTGATTCCAACACCGGGTGTCCAGGGGATTCTGAGGCATACTATCATTTGGGAACTACTGGTTTAGCCCCATTCAAAAAATTTCTGACTTAGTAGATGTGAAGTTGGACCTAAGAATTCGCATTTCTAATACATCGTAATTAAGTGATTCTGATGTTGCTGCTGTTGGGACCTCACTTTGAGAATAACTGACCTAGCCAATGGGTAGGCCAGGGAAGTTTTGTCTGGTGAAATTTGACCAGCCAAGATCTCACAATTTAAGAGGTCTTTATCACTTACTGGTCTGTGGTCTATGTGCCAACCTTAACCAGGGGCTGTCATTGTCTTTAGAGCAAGATAATATGACCCTTTGTAAAATCCAGCTTAATTCTATATGAGAGTGGCAATTAGGTTGAACAACACAACCAAAACATCTAATAGTATCTAGTTTACAATTGTAATATTTAGGGTCACTTAATTGTTCTTAAACAGCCAATGGGCCTTGCAAAAACATGTGAATAGTGACTACAAAGTGTCTTGCTTCGCTTTGTGACTGACTGCATAATTACTTCCTAAAAAAATGAATGTAAAATTCCCGGATGTCATTTTATTTCTGACAGAGTGACAGCAATTGCTTATAAAATATTTAATAATGTGCTTTAACAACTAGGAAAAACAACTTACTGAACATAGATTACATTTTAAGAAATTATTTTGTTAAACGCAAGATTAATAATGTAGAGTGTACAGATGGTTTTGAAGTCAGCCTTCACTGGAATGTTTCTGTAACTAAGAATGGCCATGGCACGGGTCCTGTGGAGGGCGGGGCCTCGGGGCCTGCTAGGTTATTGTCTTAAATCAACAGCAGGCCAATGCTTGTGAAATTCATGAGACAGCACTCCAACACCCACAGCGACTCATGGGGAGCTCTCAGGCTGATTTCATGGTGGGAACAGGATCTCTATGTCCTTTATTCGCCTGCCTTCTGCAGGGAACAAGTCTTTACCTTTCATAGTTGAGGGATTAACCCTCCAAGTGTCAATGACCTGGGATAGGTCAGTATCCGATTGCTTTTCCATCCTCTGATGACAGATTTCTTTTGAAAGAGGAAGAGGTGAGAGCACACTTCCAAGGGAAGCCAAAAGACAGAAAGTAAATGGAGGGAGGATAAAAGCATAATGAGGCATGAAAATGCTGGGAAACAGGAGTGCCTAGTTGACAAATTTGAGCATTTTGGAACAACTAGTGACTGGTTTTGGTGAGGCATGCAAGTTAAAATGAGGCAATCATGAACTCAAGAGAAAAATAAAAATAATACAATTGTCTCAAATGGACAAGTTTTACAAAGTTACATTAACGTATAATGTGATTTCCTATAACTGAGATCATGATATAATTAAATTGACCAGGGAGACAAGGGATAGTGGGAATGTGTAATTAGGCTGTATCTATCCTAACACCAAGGGTGCAGTTAGCATCCAAAAATTATTAAATCAGAAACAGTAGCGTAAGCATATTATTTAGCAATATGAAAATAAATACAACATAACCAAGAGCAAACACACAGCTGAAAGGGTTCAAAGCGATTGCTCTGCAGAATAGAAATGATGTGAGGACGGGTTAGGGTGCAGGTGCTTTTATAATAACCCATTTCAACTATGTTCATGTACTGATAAAATGAAACAGAACACCTTAAAATAAATACTGTATTTCTTTGTTTTGAATATTTCAAAAGTAACTTTCAAATTTATTCCACTTTCGCTTTTAGAAGTATTTCATCTTTAATTTAAAAACAATTAACAACAAAACTAAAATCAAATATCTTTGACATTTGGTGCTAGAACTCATTCTAGGATCGTGTGAGCTTGGGCGGGTCATCTTGTCTTACTTCTCCAAACTTTAATGTCTTCATCTGCAAGAGTTGCTGTGAGGATTAGATAAGGTTATATCGGGAAGCACTTGTAAGTTTCCTGGCACGCTATTACTTCAGCCACTCCACTCTCATCTGTCCCTCCTAGTTTTCTGAAACTTATGTCACAAAAAACAGCTTTTAAGTCCATGCCCATAAATATAAAAAAGCTGTAATGTGACTTCTCAGTATCATTAGCCACATTTTCATTCCTTCTTTTATGGTTAGAGCATCTGTTTAATTGCAACCTCCTCTGATGCCTTCTAGCTCTGTGGTCATATATTCTCAGTCTTTTTAGGTTG